TTTTGGATTTTGATTGCAATACTGTTGGTAGCGATCCTGTAGTTACCTGATGAGGTTTCCTTTTATTATAAAAAAAAAAAAAAAGTAGACACTCGTCCTTCCTTCATCATTCCTATTATCACCAAAGTGCTTTCGTATTATTACGATTAATTATGATTGCAATTCTTAAACCAATTAATTAACTAGGTGGTTTCTTTTTTCATGCATATATAAATAGTTGTTAATCTTTCATGTCCCCTTTTTCTTGCTAGTTGTCTTCTTCCTCCTTTGTCATAAACTATTTAGATTACCATTAAGTAAAGAGGCAGGAAGTTCAATGGGATGACCCATAAAGCAAATATAGGCAAAGAGACCGTCAATAATTTCTCTTAGTTTTTATTGCTAAAGTATTGTGTTTGATATTATATAATTGATTGTCACAGTGATGAAGTGGAAGGAAAAGATTTAATTAAGGTGGTTATGTGAAAATTGCTTGACAAAACTCATGAAAACCATTACTTAAGACTACTGAATCATCTAGATATGCATGCTACTCATGAAGACGATATAATTATTACGTGGATTTGGATAATTGATACCAAAATGTTTTTTTCATATTTATTTTGATAATAGATAGGATAAAATCACTCCCTTTTTTTTATAGTTGCGTGATTCTTGATGCAAGTGTATATTATTAATTGCGAGTACGTCAGGAAAGCATCTATTTTGCTTTGTTCATATAGGGGAAAGTTTATAAATGATAGAAAAGATGATATGAGATATATGGGAGATAGTGTAAGACAACAAGTATAAAGAAGGGCACAAGTTATGAAGAATTGAAGGAAATTATATAATCAATTATTAGAAAAGAAAGTAACTCATTTCTTTTGAAATTTTTACTTATGTTTGATAAAAAAGAAATATTTGTGGAGTTGGTAGATGATGATAGGGTAGAACATTTGATAAAGTTCAATGAAAGAAGTGGTCATGTGTATGTAGAAGAGAATGGAAATAAGGACCATATAGAAACAACAAGAGATAATATAATAGAGGAGCAAGATATGTAAGTTTAATTTAACAAATATGTTATTATCATTTCTCGGTATGTCAGTTGTTACTGTCTTTCTACCAACTTGTCAATCCATGCACCCTGACTTGTTATTTCTTGCAGGATTGATCAATTATTTGGAGATGTCAATGGATTGTTTGTGTCTCCACCTATCTTGTTTGATGAGATTGGAGAGCCACCATCAAGATGTGCAAGATGCTTGATCAGATTGGAGAGCCACCACCTACCTTGTTTGATGGATTGTCTATGTCGCCACCTAAATTTCATTTTGTAAATAGATACACATCAATAGTTAGTTTGTTAATTGCATGTAACCCCTATGTTTTTTTGGAATGGGTTGTGAAATAAGTGTAGTTTTATGTATATAAAGGTATAAATAAAAGTTAGCTATAAACTGACATGTTAAATTCTACTATCATTTCAGTTGTAATTATCTACACCCTACATTGTCATTAGACCTATAATGAGTTGTCAATCATTGCAGTATGACTTGTCAATTAATTTACTAATGTAAGTTATCAACAATATGAATTCAAGTTACATAACCTGTTTTGATATCATATGATATTTTCAATCACTATGACATATTATATTTTGGTTATATTGTTATATATAATCATTATTAATGAACTGTCAATAACTATACTAATAGTGAAAATATCACTTGTGATTTAAAGTTATATAATATCATTTACTATTGATATATCATCTAGACTAATGTGAGATTTGTTAACTACTTTTAAACAAAGATCAACAAAATGCAAATACACTTGTCATCAACCGCACCGTCTCTTGTCAATGGTGATACTGTGACTTGTCAATGGTGGCATCGTCCCTTGTTAATGGTGGCACTGTGACTTGTCAATGGTGGCACCGTCTCTTGTCAATGGTGGCAATGTGACTTGTCAATGTTGGCAATGCGACTTGTCAATGTTGGCACCGTCCCTTGTCAATGGTGGCACCGTCTCTTGTCAATGGTGGCAATGCGACTTGTCAATGTTGGCACCGTCCCTTGTCAATAGTGGCACTGTGACTCGTCAATAGTAGTACTATGACCTGTTAATGATGGCATTCTCCTTTGTCAATTTAACATAAATGTGATCAACAACTTCTTTTTAATAATTATATTTTAATCTAACTATATTTTAATTTGATTATATTACTTAATTGAACATTATAAATAAACAACACCTAAATTTGGTAACATAATCCCTACAATATTAATATTACATAAATTTGTTAATATCAATAAAGATATAAAACAATAAAAATAAACATGTAATAAAACCCTAAGAAATTTGGTATTATAACATGTGATGACAAAGGTAATAATATTATAAGTATAATTTGATCAGTTTGTTACAAAATGACCTGTTGACCATTAAGCTATTACTACTCATTGCTAACACCCTTAGTTACCAATTATCTTACAACACATATCATGGCCTAATAGAACAAAAAGTTAATTGACTACTCTATCTCCTCTTCTTGCTCTTGTTGTAATCCGATAGCATCAACATCACTTCATCCCCATATTCATTATTTGGATGGGTAACCAACCACCACAAATAGCCAATATTCCTTAGCCCTTCTACAATATTCCTCTCTTTGCTTCTCAAGTAATTATATCAAGCTTTTCTCACATATGGATTCCCTGAGTCAAGTGATTTGTACTTTTCTGAGTTTTTCTTATAGAAATTCTTTGTGAACAAGGAAAAGCTAGAAAAATTAGAGCTCCTTTGTCCACTTTATTACTTTCATCCTTCCCCATCTTCTTAACCTGTAAAAAAAAAAAAGGAAAAACTATGACTATTTCTGCATGATATAGAAGGCAAGTCAAAACGTGGAGTCTTGTCTAAGGTTTTCTCTAATTCCTATCATAAAAGAATAGAACTTGGCAAACCAAAAAACTATCAGAAATATATATAAAATTTCAGTGACACTAAACTGGATCTAATATTTACTCTATCATCAATATTGGCTCTCATAGAACAACCATAGAGATATCTATGCACATTCAATTACTCAGTCAAGCCCCAGGAAGTGAGCATAATCATCATACTTCAAGAGGAACTAAACCACCAGGAAGAAATAAAATATAAATAAATGAGAAAACAGAATGACTTACTATCCTCATTTTAAAACATTGATGCAATCTCATTCAATGTAATTGATATTGAATACACAAAACAAATAAGTTACACCAACTGAAATAACCTGATGCTTATAATAGTTAGACAAGTTCAATGAAATTAGTACCCATAACAACAAATGATATATTGATATATAAATATCACATGTCCACTACTCCTGCAGGTATGTTTATTTATTCTCTATTAAGTCATATCTCTTTTCTTTCCCTTCTTTCCCCTCTCATTCATTCCTCGGTATCTTGTCCTTTATTTTCTTTTTTCTCTCTTTTCTTTTGATTCCTATGCAAAGAACGTTACTTTTCTTCCGCTTGCCAATACATCTGCCCAGTTCATATGTGTATGTGCAGATAAGAGATATAGAGCTTGCAGATCGCATTTACAACAATATTAGATTTAATTAGTTCAATTACTGATCTAGTAACTATACTATTTTGAACTCCAGCAAAAGCAATAAATAATATATATTAAACCTAAAACTTGGAGCTATTGTAATAAGCCATGAGGTAAAAGTGAGTATTGAACACCTTAAATTAAGCAAAAGACGTATATATTATAAAGAAACATACTATTAAAAGCAGGGAGTGATTTTATCCTATCTATTATCAAAATAAATATGAAAAAAAAACATTTTGGTATCAATTATCCATATCCACTTAATACTTATATTGTCTTCATGAGTAGCATGCATATCTAGATGATTCAGTAGTCTTAAGTCATGGTTTTCACGAGTTTTGTCAAGCAATTTTCACATAACTACCTTAATCAAATTTTTTCCTTCCACTGCATAGCTCTGACAATCGATTATACAATATCAAACACAATACTTTATCAATAAAAACCAAAAGAAATTATTGACGGTCTCTTTGCCTATATTTGCTTTATGGGTCATCCCATTGAACTTTCTGCCTCTTTACTTAATAGTAATCTAAATAGTTTATGACAAAGGAGGAAGAAGACAACTAGCAAGGAAAAGGGGACATGAAAGATTAACAACTATTTATATATGCATGAAAAAGAAATCACCTAATTAATTAATTGGTTTAAGAATTGCAATTATAATTAATCATAATTAAATGAAAGCATAGGAAAGATGAAGGAAGGACGAGTGTCTACTTTTTTTTTTTTTTATAAAAAGGAAACCTCATCAGGTAACGACAGGATCGCTACCAACAGTATTGCAATCTAAATCCAAAATAGAGACTACCTCCTCAGGTAATATGCATTCTCATCTTTCTTTCTTGGTCACAAGCTAAAACCGACACACACAAACTTGTCTTTCTCATCCTTCAGCTACCCATTATAATAGATGATAGCCACCCAAATGGACAAATCGCATAAATGGAACACAAAAGGCAACAAGGTATCAAGTTAACAAAAAGAAAAAGTTAGCATCACACCAAAAATTGGACGCCGACCACCAACCCCTTCAACAACAGGTCACGATGACATCGACGAGCACCACTTTCACTGATAGCTTTCGAAGCAGAAATTGGAAGGAAATGGGAACAAAAAGGCCACAAGTTTTAGTCGATTTTTGCTAATGGTTGATGTAAGTAGAGTGGGTGAGATTTTTAGCTTTGAATGGGGAAGAAGCGCCGATGAAGTTTGTGTTTGTTTCCCTCTTACTTTTTGCTTCTTTCCAGGGTAGAAACGTCTTTCCACGCTTTACTGAATTGCATTAAGGTCCCTTTGGGACTTCAAAAGAATTATTAGATTTGAAGGGACTTTTTTGCTGTATACTTGCTTGTGTGGGACCTCAATGTCATTTTCCCATTATTAATTTGCTACCCGATAATGTGACCCATACCGAAAGATCCGTCTAGTTTGATCTTTCATAAACGAACACGCATCGTACCTAACTGTCTTGTTTATTGCAACTACCTTGCAGATTTTGAAGCTCCTAACAATGGCTTCTTTCTCTGGTCAAAGTCAAACCCGCATTATCGCTCTTCCATGGCTATTGCTCGCAATCATTGGGGGTTCATTATGTGCGAGAAAGGAGGTGAATGGAAGCATCGAAGAAGCGAATCAAAGAGAGTTTGATTACTTCGCGTTGGCTCTGCAATGGCCTGCCACCTACTGCCGCCGCACTCGCCATTGTTGCTCCTCCAATGCTTGCTGCAGAGGGTAAAGTAAAATTAAAACCTTTTTCAATTTTGTCACTTTTTCCGCCTTGAAACATTCTTTATATGATTATAACTTGTTATACCGGTTAAACAAGAATGGAACTGGGCTATTGGGGGAGCTTTGGATACAGAAACCATGGATGTTGTTTTACCATGAATTAAACAAGCACTGGGAATTCTTTATTAGCATATTTGTTTTTGGGAGGCTTCCATTTTTGGTTTAGTGAAGTTTGTCATACATCTTGTTGTATAAGTCTATTTGGCCCAAATGAAGGTATATATAGACTAATTTAGCCGGTTTGCTGATGGTGTGATCACTACTCTACGGCCATTGCATCTCTTTTAAGTTGCTTCCTTGTGGCTGATTTTAGTATGTCAATATTATGATGTAACTTGTATAGGAAATCTAAGAAGCAACACTAACAGAGTTGCACTTTTTCGTGTTACCTTCCTTTTCAGCTCTAATGCTCCAACAGAATTTACCATTCGTGAGTATGAGGCTGCAAATTTATTAGTGCCATTATTTTATATCTTCCTTCTTTGTATATGATTCCTGAAGAAATATATTAACTAAATCATCTTATCTAATTGTATGACGACAGATGGACTCTGGCCTGATTATAATGATGGAAGTTGGCCATCCTGTTGCTCCCGAACTAGTTTTGACGAAAAGGAGGTACTGTGGAAGTATTTCTGTGCTTCAGCACTTCCTGATATTTTTTAATGGTCTTCAAGGTGTATGAACGTTACCTTGCTACCCACAGATGTTGGGGCTCATGAGGTTATACATTCTTGGTCAAACTCATTAAGTGACGAGGGGTTTGGTGTGGATGAATGTTTAATGATGTCAGCTAATAGAGTTAGGTCCAGGGGTTAATCAACGAAACTGGGGAAGATGTCAATATGAGTACCGGAACGTGCATTACAATACGCCCTGAGCATCATACGCCTTAGCGGTGGGGGTTTCTTGAAAGCTAGCTATTCTTATTTTCTCTTTGAAAGAAAATCTGAGCAGCTGAATTTTTTTTTTTAAATCTAGCTATTCATGTTCTCTTTGAAAGCTGATTATAATTAAATTAAATTCCTGTGGTTTGTTGTTGGGTCCAGCGGTCAAGTATTTAGTCATGTCAAATTGTAACCTTGGTTTAGCAGGACTTTTTTAAAAGTGAACTTAGTTTCACAGGATTTTTCCAAAGTTTGTTTGTTTCGCTTAGTTTGGATGGTATTTATGTCTAATTGTGGCCTGTGTCAGGCATGTTTTCTGTAACTATAATTTGTAAATCATTTGCTCATGCAAATTTTTTCCTCACTTTAGATAAATCAATTAATCAATATTGATAAATTTTATAAACAAATTCAGACAGAATGAAATTCAATGAACCTGTAATTCTACCACCATGTTCTATTTGTTGCTTCTACAGGATTGTTATTAACTGAGGAGAACACACACACCCACTTGGCTTTCTTATTTCAAATTATGCATGGGTTACTTTAACTGTTACGCATTTGGAACTGAAACTGTTCTATATACTTTTAAATATCAACTTCCTCATTTTCTTCTCTTCTAAGTGTTATTGCTCCATCTTCATTATAGATATCAACATTGACCAATGCTTTAGAGCAATATTGGCCATCATTAAGTTGTGGCTCACCATCAACATGTCATGGTACAAGAGGGTCATTTTGGGCTCACGAGGTGATCATTGGAAATTTCCTACCTTTAATTTATTCTATATATTAATATGAAGCTAAATGATTTTTTCATCTTTGTTTCTGGGGCTGCCACATGGGAACACATTGACAGTGGGGTAAGAATCTTTATAAATTTTTCTCTTACATGATTTAACTACTGATCATTTCAGTATAGGGTATGCTTGAATTGCATGATTGATTTGAATAAGTCACAGAACGCTCTGTGATGTAAATGTTGGATGCTTTCATTAACAGTGTAGTATTCTGAGTCTTTTTATTTTACCTGCAGAGACGCATGGCACATGCTCATTTCCTGTGATTCGAGATGAATACAATTATTTCTTGACAGCACTGAATGTCTATTTCAAATACAATGTGACTGTAAGTTCATAGAAAAAGAGTTTTTGGATCTCTGAGTTTCTTACTTGTTTCAATAGAAGATAAGCTCACCTTATTTTGGCTAGGTGGTTGTTTTGGAAGGGACTATTTCTTTATTTTGCTTGGTGTTGCTGTTAGCCATGAGTGGTTGGATATGAAGGAAAATTCTTACATGTTTGGATGATTTGAGAGTTTGGTTTTATGGAGCTGAAGACCTTTATTTGCTATCGTTATTCAATCTTTTATAGATAATTCAGGGAGAGCAAGATGGTTGATTTTGTCTCAACTAGTGCGCTATTTATGGTGGTGTGTTAGGTGAAAGGAAATCTATTGATCCATGTTCTTCATTGCCCTGTTGCAAGTACTTTGAGCATCCTTTTATTGGGTTTCATTTTGCTTTTGGTGGACCCTGGATCATTTTGTCATTGTTGAATTTAGGTATGGAAGGTGAATTGCTGAGAATCATATCTATTTTGATCTGTAGATGTACTGTGTAGAACGACAGCATGGTACTTAATGAAGTTAAATGTAAACATGAATATGGTTTTGATGGGCAACAGAGGGCTGAAGAGGATTGCTGAAATATTCCTCCTGTCCCACCTATCAGTAGAGTAGAGAGATATAGAATTTTTATGGGATTTAGAACAGCAATCACAGAATATGTGCTAGCGGTATGGGACAATTTCTTTGACTAGGGGGGTGTAGGAAAAGATAACCCGCTAGCTATAGAAGATGCTAATACATTCCCAGTATTTGGATTCAGCCCACTCTCTCCATCTACTCACTTCTTACTCTTATTACAGAATGACCGGTAGTCAGTAGTCACGTGCTTGTGCACACCCACCCAGTTGCTAGAAATATATTTTGTAACAAACTGTTTGAGATTTTTACTTAATAGCGTTAAATAAAGTCATTTAGAGACATTTCATTATGAAAGTGAGATGTAAGAAGTGATGAGAATGCAAACTAGCATGTTCATTTCCAGAAATGATTTGGAGAGGAATTAAATGCTGTACATGTTCTTGATTATTATATTGATGTGAGGTACATGGATTGCTGCATATTATAGGGCATTGATAATCAGACTGCAAGTTCTTTACCATTTAGTTAAAATGTTGATTGTTCTTGTATTTTGAAGTAACCTAGTCCATGCTTTATTTTGTAGCTTGTTTTTCTGGATTCACTCTTAATTGTATTTTCAAAACCTTTGGTTGTAAAAATGTGAAGGCTTGCAGTTTGCGTGCATATCCATCAGGGTTAGTCTGAACATTGTCCTTCCATTTTTTTTTTCCTCAGAGAGTTCTAAATGAAGCTGGGTATGTTCCTTCTAATAGAGAAAAATACCCCCTTGGAGGCATTGTCTCTGCCATTGAGAATGCCTTCCATACAACTCCTCAAGTAGTTTGCTCACATGGTGCAGTGGAGGAAATTCGTCTATGCTTCTATAAAGACTTCAAGGTTGTAACTCTGCTCTGTAATAATTTTAGCATATAAAGACGTGAATATTCTGAGCAAAGATTTGTATTGTTTGTTCTTGGGAGTTAGACAATTCTATACGTTCATTCTGTGGTATCTAGTGTGTTTGGCTTGTAGTGTTGTTATTGTTGTCTCCCCAAAAATGAATCCATGACTAAATGCAGTGAGATTAACAGTGAGAAAGTCTGGAAGTTCTGATAAACAGTGGGGCTTATATTATTAATTTTTAGCTTTTTAAAACTGTTTTCTCACAAACAAGGCAGGCTTTTCTTTTCCTTTGTTTTAATAAAAGTGAACTTTGCAGCCTCATTCTTCAGTTTGTGCTTCTAACGTTTTAAAATTAGTTTTGAATATTGCATAAGGTTGGTCGGGACTGATGTAGTTTATTAATTTTAATCCTGTGATCATTCATTGTCCGAGTACAATGACATTTTGGTCATTATTAAAGAGTATTGCTTATTTGGTTACAGCCACGAGATTGTGGAGTTGCATCTGACATTAAAATTGACATGGTTACTTCAAGATCGTCATGTCCCAAATACGTCAGCCTGCCAGTGCATGTATCATCTGGTAAGTCTATTGCTTTATCTATTCTATATCAGTAGTTGCAAGGAGCTTAACTGTGTGTATTGCTGGATTGATTTGATATCAATAATGGCAATGCTCTGTTTGCGAGATGTAAAAACATGCTTGATATCTTATTGATAAGCGGAAAAATCTACGTTTAGATTGTAATATTTTGGATCGTATGTTTGAATTGCCATAATTTTCTTGTACATAATTACAAATCTGTGTTTCTGTCAGTCAGGTTCACATTGATCAAACTTAGATTAACCTTATGTATTGCACGTCTAGTGTGTCATTGTGTCCAACCTGTTCAACGTAATTGATTGAGTGTTTGTTCATAGATCTGATTTAGTGTATGCATCAATTCAGTTCATATAAAATGGTTTTTGTTTTAACTGTGACAGACTCAATCAGTTTTTTGGACCGAATTGGCCCTCTAGAATTTGAGAGTCTTTTCTGCATTAAAAATAAATCACGCTTCGCATTTTGATGTAGTCCATACCTGATTTTTGCTTGTGATTTCATATAATTTCTTTTTATTCAAATGAGATTGCAGGAGAGACTCTTTTCCATATGCCCTTGCTGATTAATATAGCATTAGTCGCGTTCGCGCTGGTTTTTCTTCTTGCTGTAACTGATGGACCTCTCCAGTGGATAGAAGTTTTTTAAAACAAAGAAAAAACTTTTCCGGGTTTCACAGATTTCTTGATGGATCTTGTCTTTCTAAAAATTAGTTTGTTCTTTGCTCGCTGTCAGCACTATCTGCTGCAATTTCAGAGTCAAAGATGGACTGTGTATAGGTTTCTGTAACAGTGCAACCTGTTTTTGCCTGCATATGTATTCTTCCAAGATCCATGTTCGAAATGTTCAGGTTATGCTTATTTTTCATGCCCTACCCATACTTTCTTTTTTGCCAAAATCCGTATTTTAGAAACCTGCTTTTCTTTTTTTCCATTTTATATATCCTCATTGGTATATTAGAATTTGGAAGCAGGTGAATCGTCAAGTCATCACTTTATCGAACAATAATCCATTTTGTGCTAATCTGTAGTATATATACATCATAGATAGATAGCGTTTATGGTTCCAGTCGCCATTTTAACAGGCAACGACATGCACTCATAAAGTTAATAAGTGCTCACCATGGAAGATAGAGAAATCACTGTGCATGACGCTTGTGTGTGTGTGTGTGTGTTTGTCACCTCTCTGCATATGTATTTCATAATGGAGATGACATTGCTTTTATTCATCATATTATTTATCCAACATTAACTGATTAATAACATCCAATAATAAGTGACTATACCTGATCGCTGTGACTGTGTGTGAACTTGCCATGGGAAATGCATATCACTAGCACCAAGTAAGGTTCAGATGAGTGAATAAATGCACACACATACATATGTATGATTGGTCCATAAAACACCTATAATCAGACTGTGGGAGCAGATCAAATCAAAGTATTAGTTTGATGTAATGATTACAAAGGTGACTCATCCTGTTAAAAATGACTTGTGCTAAAGTTCAGGATGTTTAAATACTCTGCATTCACAAAAATAAATATATATAATACATTCCGAAGAGATGAAAAAGGAGGGAAAGTAAAAAAGTGAGTTTAAAGATATGATGTGAAATTGATACATAATCACATTCTTTCATGTGATATATCTCTCTTGAATGTACAAATATAGGAGAATTAATTTACTGCCCTCTGGTGGTGCTCTGCTGCTGTTTGTGGTTGTATTCATTTAACTACTAATGATTAATTTTCCACTTAATCAAAGTCATGAAACTTCACGGGTTTTGGATAAGGTTTTGGTGAGATGATAGATTGATAGATTCCTTTTCATTGAACCAGTTGTGAATATAACCAACCCATCATTGTCTACTTGCATTTTATTGGAATATTTCTTCACTGCAAATTTATACCATTATCATGTGTATCTGTAGAGAGGGGTGGATCTCAAGGTTGGTTTCCTTATAATGAAGCTCTATAAGGCTCTGGTAGGACACCTCTGTCTATAACTTTAAACATTCATCAGTTGGTGAGATGCTGTACTATATGTTATAATTTGGAGGGACAAGAATAAAGTTATGGACAATCTAAACTTGGCTTGTGAATTGAAGGGTAGGTATGGCCTTGAGCATTGTGTTGTGCTCCAGGTCAATCCTGCATTGAAATGGGATTCATGCATGATTTGGCATTATTCTAGGATAAGATTACATTTTAAGGACCTAAACTTGGCAAAAATTATGTTAAAATCTTGAAGTTGTAATTACTATTTGCTCTCGATGATCAAAAGTTACTATCTTCTTTTAAGAAATTACTATGAAAATTTAGGAAAGTCACTGTTAAATTTTAGAGAAATTATTATTGATTCCTTGAATTTGTAATTTTCCTAGATCTTTATGGTAACTTTCACAAAACATTGATCTCTAAGATGAAATGTAACCTTTGATCTTTGAGGGTAACTATAATATATTAATGTAATATTTTGTAATTCAAGCCTTTAGACATAATTTTTGCATGAATTTCATTTGCTGCATTTGTAATAGTTGCAATGTCATGTAATTTATGTATCCCATCGCGGATATAGAATATGACGACTTATTACTGTGTAACGTATTGTATAATTCATAAGGATTCATTATTATTTTATCTTTTACTTGGCATTATATTCCTGTTATATATTATACTCTTTTTTGTAATGATTGAACAACTTTGGATTGAATGAGTTTAATTACTAATTAATTTCATAAATTATGTGTACTTAAGTTTACAATCAAGTTGTCAAATAGAAGTTGGATAATTTCATTGCTGGTTTATTTATGATCAGGGAAGGCATGTAATATGGTAATATCACCTAAAGGTCAATATGTGGGATAACAATGATTAATTTCCTTTATGACAATGCCTGAATCTGATAGTCATTACTATTGAATATCAATAATTATATATATAAAAATAAAGTTGCATCAAACACTCTAATCTATTTTATAATACATTAGTACTTTGATTTTTTTTTTTTTACATGCAACACTTTAATATTATTTTTAAGTTACATCCAGTACTATATAGTATTGGATGCACTAAAAGTGAGATTAGGGTACTAGATACACCCAAAAAAATAAGAGGAAGGTGTGGGATGTAGCTTTACCCATAAAAGAAAATATTGACTTTTTATCGATGTTTATGGCAATGTTAATCATGAATCAAACATTAAAGTCTAAGAAAATAAATGATGTCATTAAGTCACTAAATCAAGGGATGAGGTCTAAATCCTGGCCCATTATCAATCATTCAATTTCAACGAGGTTCAACGTAAGGTCAAAAATTGAAAGTGAATCCATGGATTTTGTTGATGGCGTATTCTACTTCTGTCAAAAACCTCTTCATTGCAACCACATTCTCTCTTTATATTATTATTTTATTTTTTGAGTTTAAGTAAAGTTATATTCATGACAACTTACAATATTTAATAATAGATACCTACTCCATAATTAACAACAAACACATTTTTTTAAAAAATAGCCACTGTGTTCGTTTGTTAAATTGAAATATTATAAATGTTGGCCTAAATAAGTCATAATTCGAAAAAGTCCCCACACCATGGTTAGTTACAAAACTGCAATCATTCCCTGTTTTCTTCCCACTTGTTACCCTCTTCTTGAATAAGGATCGTTCGGCTTCCCAGCCATATATGCAAAATAAATCTGAAACTTGTTATCAAATTCCCAAACACAAAATCACACACACACACTCTAATGGAGAGACATGAATTGAGGATATCTCTGCAAATATTATTGCTTATCTTCTTCTTCTTCTTCACACTCCACTGTTATCTAATAAGTTCACAACAAACAGACTCGTGCACTTGCAATCTCAACCTCCAAGTCCCTATCCCTTTTGATACTTCCAACCTCCATTGTCTTTCTGTCTGGGATTCTCAAGGTTTCATTCTCAGAGTAAGTTCTTCTCTTCTAACAGCTATTTGCTTCTGAATTGCAATATAATTAAATGAGTTACTGATATGGATTTGACTTGTCTCCCATGAAGAAAGAAGTATATATATAGACACAGAAGTTGATCTCTTTCTTCTCTTTACATGAGACTGAAACCAGAACTTGAAACCTTCGTTTTAGAGAGATGTTCCCATAAAAAAAAAAAAGAAGAAGTAGTAGTGTGTGTGTGTGTTATCGCTTCTAATTTCAACTCAACCTCATTTCTGTACAGTATGTTCAGACGTCTTCAAACTTATGGAGCTTCATCCTCTCAACACCAGACACCAACTCCTACATAGCAATGGGTTTCTCGGCGGACGGTGGGATGGCTGGTTCTAGTGCGATGGTGGGGTGGGTGGCAGCGCAGGGAAGCAGCGGCGGAATAAAGCAGTACTATCTGGGAGGTTTAACACCAGACCAGGTGGTGCCAGACAAAGGAAACCTGCAAGTGATAGGAAATTCAAGCTTCATAACAATGGAGTCAGGTCGTGTTTACATGGTGTTTCAGTTGGCAACCACCACCACCGCTTCGCCGTCGTCATTTCTCTTATTCGCCACCGGACCCACCGGCTTGTTTCCTTCAGCTCCAAGCTATCGACTTGTGAAGCACCTTGATAAGGTGTCTATCAGAATCAACTACACTTCAGGTTGGTATATGTTGCCGAAAATGACGCATTTATTTGTTCAAAATTTATATTATTAATGATAACATCACAATATATGATTATGAACTAGAATCCAAGTTACTTTTTAAAATTCATTCATACATATGTCTATATGGAAATTTTTTAAATATAATATAATATTCTTTTTCTTAAATATTTTATTATTGAAAATGAATATTTAAATTTTCCATGTTTAATTAAAAATTTTCACCTTCATTTCAAAATTTGAATTATTTACATATGAACAATAAAATAGCATTTATTATATTATGTATTTGATTATTCTTTTAAAAAAACAATTTGCATCAAGTAAGAAATCTTCTACGTTTGAGGAGGTTTTTTTTTTTTCTAGTTGACATTTAGTAATTAAAAAAATGAAATTATTTTTATGAATCAATATGAATATTAATATGAGAAATGAAAGTTTACAATGAATGATGCATCTCATCCATCAACTCCATGCTATTAATGTATGAAAGTCCAATATAACAATGATTTTTAGCATTAAGAAGGAATAAATTAAAAGAAAATGATTATTGGTGATGAAATGAAGGAATACAAAATTCATCTATACTTGGTTTCTTACTTTGCATAATTATATTTTATTAATGTGACGACAAAATTTTAGTGATTAAGGGTCAAAGGACACATCATTGTAGATCATTATTATGGTTGTGGTTGTGGCTGAATTGTGGCATTCATATTTTATTCATTCACCTACAAAAATTTGGAGGTTAAGAGTCGGTAAGGTGTTTTATCATGAAAAACGGGGGAAAAAAAAACAGGGAAAACATTACATTGCACAATTTTTTTAAAATCTTTTATTAGATGATATAACTTTTATTTTCAAACTTGGAAATTGGGGCTTTTCTCAAAAAAAAAAAGTACATGATTCTTTTATATTAGTCACTTATAACATGAGTTATATTAAATTTTCTTCTATCTTCAAAAGTAGTTTTAAATAAAATTTGTGAGAATATATATTTAATGCTGCTAGGTTACAAGGCCGTTAGTCATATAATGTTATTATAAAATGGGAAAAATCTGTATCAAACAATATAAGTCTTAGTTTATTTCTTAGATTTCACGTAACATATCTCTCACAACCATTGAACAAAGGAATCAATGTATAGGACCATGAAAAAGATGGAAAAGCAGTTTTTAGGTCCCCCTTTCAAGGTACAGATATTATACATAGGCTAAAGGTCAGACAACCAGACGTCCTTCTCTCAATTTAGTAGTTTTTTGAAGGGGAAAAAAAAAAGTTAAGACCAAGATCTTTTGGATCTTATCTGCAAAAGCACATACAAAGGAAATGAAAAAAAAATATCACATAAGTTTTAAAGTGATTTAATTCTTTTACCACATCTATGAGATAGAAACTTAGTTTAATTCTTCCCCTCTTTTACATCATAACTAAGTGTGCAATCATTTATTCTTTTTTTAAGTACTTAGTATAGGGATTTTTTTTTAATTTCTAACCCAATGAGAAAAAATACATGGAAAAAAGTAATTTTTTCCATTATTTAGATGGCAAAGGAAAAACTTTAAAAGACAGAAAGAGGCATAGGGATTTTCTCTCCAAAGTTTTCGCTACTGAAGTGAAAACATATTTTTCAAAATTGCTTTTAAAAAAAGAGGTTAATATAATCTTTAATTCCTTAAATTTGCTCTCATTTTAGTTTTTAGTCCATTAAATTTCAAATCATATGTTTTGGTCCTTCAATGAACTAAATAGTTTAAATTTTTATTGGATTATAGAGACCAATACTTTAAATAAAAAGAAACTTGAGGGACCAAAATCAAAATAAAGGTAAACTTAAAAAACCAAATTTGTATTAACCCTAAAAAAAATACATGCTGTGATCTAGGCTGTTTCTTCTTCTTCTTCTTTTAAATGTAGATATTACTCCTCTCCTAAATATAAGACATATTTTGTAATACAAATTGCACTACAAAATAAGTTTTATATTTAGGACTAGAGGAGTATTATTTATTGTGAAGTTGGTCTTTTTGTTTAATATTTTCTTATATGTTCATCTAAATATAAGAAAAAGAAAAAAAAAAAGAGAAAAAATGTAGGTTTAGTTGTTCTTTAAAATGCGCATTTGGCATCAGCTCCAAAAAAAAAAAAGCACATTTGGCTACATATGACTCATCAATTATGGATTTTAAATGGTTGTGGTAATTAAAGGAGTCTCTCATTAATTTGTTTTCTTTTTTTTTTTAAATTTGTAAAATGGTGTAGAAAATATGGAAACAACGTCATTTCTTATTAGACATAATTAACTAATTTAGATATATTAAAAATATCAATAAATTAGTTGATTATAACAAATCTGTTGACTTGATTTCTCTAAAATATTCTTAAACAATATTATACTGGTACTATATATTAATTTTCAAGTTAAATAAATTAGTTTAAGGAAAAATAAAAAATATAGATAAAATAAATTAAAACAATCGCTTTTTTGGAAGCAAAATATTTAGCAGCCGGGGTATATGATTCTTGATGCTGGATTCTCCTCCCATGACTTAATGCATTTATGTATATGTGGGGTCCGCCTACCCTTATGTCTCCCTTTTTCCGCACAGCTACCCAAGAAGATAGAATTGGAGAGCACCATGGCCTTCCCTTTCTTTATTTGAGTCCATATCACATTATGTATAGCTTTTTTATTAGAAGAAAAATCTAATCATCAATATATTTATATTCTTCTATCTTCTAAAAGATTAAGCAGATCAGATATGCTATGCACACTAAATATTTAGATGAACTAATTAAGATAGAAATGAAAACAAGTAATAATAATGCATTAATTAATAGGTCTAATCTGATGTAACCATATGAATACTTGATTAATAATTATTAATTACTTGTAAATATTGTTCAGGAAGCATTGGGAATTCTCAATCACAAGCAAGTGGAGGTTCTTCATCTTCTTCATCTTCATCATCATCACCTTCTTCTTCATCAACACAATTAGGTGACTCTTGTGGCAATAAGCTGAATTTGAATGGTGTTTTCCCATTTGACACAACCAATCTAAATTGCTTTCCCGTTTGGAATGCTCAAGATTTCATCCTCAGAGTAAGCTCTCACAATTCATCATCTATCTTTTTTAAATTATGTCACTAGTATCCTTCCATATTCAAATATTTGTGGTTTAAGGTATAAATTTGCTTTGAAAGTTCTTCATTTAGAAGTGTTACGTACTAGAAATTTTTTTAGGTGCAAATTTGTCCTGATATTTTAAGAAAAATAATGCTTATTTATTACAAATAACTAAGTTAAACTAATTTTCTTAATATTCATAAATCAGTTATCTAGTTTTATATTTAAAAATCCAGACATTAATTTTCTTAACTTACATAGTTTTTCTTAATTTTCTTAATTATTGCAATAATGCACAAGACCCAGACACTAGTGTTCATTTAAAATCAAAATATATCATAACTAGCTATTTACTTAATTAATCAACATTCTAATTAACATCGCCATGAACATATGCATTCAAAAACTATGCAGTATTCTCAGAGTTCTTCATATGTATGGAGCTTCATTGTGTCAGCACCAGACAAGAACAGCTACATAGCCATGGGGTTCTCTCCCAACGGAGGCATGGTGGGGTCCAGCGCCATTGTTGGTTGGGTTCCATCCACCGGTTCTAGTGCAGCAGGCTTGAAGCAGTATTATCTTGGTGGTACTTCACCATCCCAAGTTGTCCCTGACAGAGGAAACTTGCAATTGGTGGCCAACTCAACCGTAATCACTTCTCAGTCCTCTCGTCTCTTCTTGGCCTTTCAGTTGCAGACAGCCCAGCCGCCGTTGTCCCGGCTCATTTTTGCCGTTGGACCGACCGGTGTCTTTCCTTCGGCTCCAAGTTTTGCCCTAGCTCAGCACCAAGACAAGGCCTCCACTACCTTCAATTACGCTACTGCAACAGGCAAGTGCAAACAAACTCAACTCGACCCTATCAATAATTTTCTTGATATTGAAACTCAACTCGAGTTAGTTACACTAGTGAACTAGTCTCCTGACTAATTTAGTTAAGATAGGTAATTAGATTGGATTTTATATTTTGTTCTCTTCTCATTGAGACTGAAATAACATAATCTTAAATTTAAAATAAAATAAAAAAAGCTAAATAGTTATCTCTCATATTTGTGCTCCATCTGATAACTGTTTTGTTGGATTATATATGGATTATATGAATGCTCCATGTACTTATAAATTAAGGCTGTTTATTTAAATATTACTCTTTTAGGGTTATATATGAATAATTTTGTATATTTAAATCAAATTATAATAGTTTACTCATGATTTGACTTGGGGTTTAATTTAATCACAATTATTAGACCATTGATCCTTAAGTTATTATTTTGACTAGTTTAGTGACCGATTTGATTTTCAGACTTCAGTACCTTAATAATTTTTTGCCTACCTATATATTTATGTATAATATGAAAATTTCAACAAATTGTGTTTTTAATATTTATTTTAAATAGATTTATTTCTCACAAACGAGATTGATTCACATTAGTTTCAAATGCTACATCTATTGACATATATCTTAAAAGGTTGACTTTAATATAATGTCATGATTAATATTAAAAAAGAAGAAGAAGAAGTTAATGTCATTCGCATATCATCACGGGTAATTGAGGCAAGCAAGATCATTATGCCATATTTGTTGTTATGTCATATGAGAAAAGATTAAATAGCTGGACAAGAAGTGGGTGAATTGTTTCATTAATCATTATTTTAAAGTTAATAAAGGAAAGTATATTATCCTATTATGTGTTGGAATCATATGTTATACTGTTAATTAAGCTTTAAATTAGTTGGTTATTGTGGTGTCATGATCAGATTGAAGGCCCACTTAATAACCTAAGTCAGATTAAAGGTTGTTGAGTGAAGATTCTTCAATCATGCTAATTTGGTTGCTTCTTCCATATTAAGTTGAAACGTTTGATCAGAACCGACCCTTTACCAGACCTAGAAAAGCCTACGTACCCCCACTGTGTTCCTCACGTGAAATTTATTAAAAGTTTTGGCTTCAATAATTTCGCAGTCTAATCTAATTATTTATAGGATTTTTTGTTTTGTGTTTTGTCAAAAGTTTATAAACCTTTTGTTATACTTTCAAAAGGGGATAGTACGCATATCTTGAAGTTTAAGGAATGTAAGGAAATGTGCAACGCATGCAGATCTCTCTCAGATCAACTTGATGACTTCCGGTTTAAACATTTTTTTAATACACGAAATCTGAAAAATGTGATATGTTATTTACTATTTATTTAGTGTAATAACTTGTATTTTCTTAAAAGTGTGACTTCTCTTATTGTTATTGTCTTTTTATTTAAATATTACTCTTTTATGGTTATGCATAAATATCCTTATATGTTTTAATTAAATTATATTATTTTATTCATAATTTATGGGTTATTTACGGTTTAATTATGATTCAATCATTAACTCTTAAATCACTAGTTCAACTGGTTTAATAATTAATCCAATTTTTTCATTGCCTTGAAGCCCAACTCAAAGTGAAGAACACCTGATTTGCTAATCCAGCCCCATCACTTTTTGGTGGGTTGATTAGTTGGGTACCCCTTAATTCAATCATGTTGGGATCATTAATTCTTAAACCACTATTTTAATCTATTTACTGACTCATCCAATTTTAAATAGGATAAAGTAGTATTCAGCACATTGATACTATTTCTCATGCACATCCAGTGCCCTAATCATATTTATGATGCATTTAGTACCTTAATGTTATTTTTCCAATGCATCTAACACCCTTTAATGTTACTTTTCAGTTACATGTAACACCCCATCTAAGATGTTATATACATTATAAATAAAATTAGGGTGCTCGAAGCACCATGAAATAATATCGGGGTATTAGATTTACTAGCAAAAATGTGTTTTAATTTGATATTGATTGGATTGAAACAAGATTCACCCTAAGATTATGATGTTCTTGTCATTTTTTGAACCTGAAATAGGATCAAGTGCATCATCATCATCATCATTATCAGGGAACGCAATTGTGAGCCTAAAAAGAACACATGGATTGTTGAACATATTGGGATGGGGAGTACTGATCATAATGGGAGCCATAATTGCTCGCCACTTCAGGCAATGGGATCCACTTTGGTTTTACTTTCATGTCTCATTTCAAACATTGGGCTTCATTCTTGGGGTCATTGGGGTCATTACTGGGCTTCTCTTGAACAATCAACTTCATGCTAACGTTGAAATCCACAAAGCCCTTGGGATCACTATTCTCGTCTTGGGATGCCTTCAGGTAACTTTTTTACTCCTGCCTTGTTAATGTTCTTTTCCTTGTTACTAGGGTTTTCTGCACATTGCATGGAGTCTGATAAATGAGTTGCATTATTTATATACATTATTTATGACTCATGAATAGTATGACCTATTAGAGTTTATGAGTTTCTTTTTATAACCAAAAAGGCATTTTTAGTCATTTAATCTTACATAAATTTTCATTCTTTTTTTTTATTTTTAATCAATACTAGAATTCAAAGCATTACAAACAAGGTCCAAAAAAAACCTAATTTCCTTCCTCAACCTCCTCCTCACTTATAGAAGGTGGTTGATCTAGGATATAAAAGTTGCTTTCCATCAAATGAAAGGATTTGGCTAAATGATCCGTCATGGGGATATGTTCCCTAGTAGTATGTATCAGAACAAAAGTCCAATTCCTATGAAATAATAATCTAGCATCATCACATAAATTTTCATTCTGAGTCCTTAGTTTTATAAAGTGTCTTTTTCATCTTTTAATCCTGATGCCACTAACAAAAAACGTTGAAATTGAAAATTTAAATATTTGATAAAATATTATGAAATATTGACTATTCAATTTAATTTTTGAAATAATAATGATTGTTAGGGGAAAAAATTATCATTTGATATTGACTGTGTTAGACATAGGAGTAAAAATGTACCTTTAAAAATTAAGAAATAAAATTAAAACTAAATATGAAATTAGAAGAAGAAAGGCGTATTTTTTTCCCCTTTTGATATCAAATATAATTTGCATGTAGTAACTTTATTGTTGGGATAGACTACGCCGCCAACATCAAAACTTTATTGTTGGCTTTGGGGCAAAATTTATACTTGATTTAAAAGAACAAGAAAAGTAAGTAGGGAATTTAGTTAATTTCTTCATTTGATCAGTCAGGATTAACTCATAATAGTCCCAGAAAAAATCCAAATCTTAATAAATTTGGATTTCCTTTTGTTGTGTCAGAAAGTTAATCACCATTAGAGTTAAAATATAATTGACAGTTAATCTAAATTGTTCATATTTGTTTAGAGTAGTTTTTTTTAGAGAAACAAATCTAAATTGTTCAAATAAAACAGGCAGTTAGAAACTTAGAATTGGCAAAAGTCATTTTCAAAAAAAAAAAAAACAATCCTGAATTAATTTGGATGTTTTAGATCTTCAAATTTTCATTTTAATAAAGCAGAGTGCAGAATCAAACGTGTCTGTTAAGTTTTATTGGTGAATTTTGAGAAAACATATTACAAAGATAAAAAGGACTTCATATTCAATTTAGATATATAAATCAGATATAAAATGCCTTATCAATTGAGTTAGAAATCTATTTCCTAAATTGTGAAAGTTGGGAAATCTAATCTATCTAATTACATTATATTCTAAATCTTCAAGGGCTAATAGTAAGTTATCAAACTTCAAGAATTCAGTAATCATATCGAATAATTCAAATCGTGGTTAGTTTAAATGAATCAAGCGAAACCCTAATTAATTAATTATGGTGATTTATGGTTTTGATGCAGATGATGGCTATTCTGGGGAGGCCAAACAAGGACACAAAAGCAAGAAAGTATTGGAATTTGTACCATCACAATACAGGCAGAATATTGATCATTATTGCAATAGCAAACATTTTCTATGGAATCCATTTAGGTCATGAAGGAAGTGCTTGGAGGATAGGTTATGGCATAGTTCTTGCCATTTTACTTTTTATTGCTTTCATTTTTGAGATGAGAAAGTGGAGTGATGATGAAGATGATGATGATGATTAAAACAATATTATTTGTTGAGTGTAATAATTGTAATTCTTGTTTTATTTATTAATTTTCATCGTAACCCCCTTGAAAAATTTTCTATTTTTATTGTGGTTAATTAGCTTATTACCATAAGAAAATTGGAAATTCAAATTTATTCGTTCTCGAAATTAGTACAGTTGGCTTTGTTTTCTTTTTACAATTAAGGAAGCTTTGTATGATATACATCTATGCCTATTGAATAATCTCTTCAAGATAAGTTTCCTTTAAAATTGCATAACATTGGGAATAGATCAAAGTTCTCCCCCTTTTTTCCCAACCAAATGATTTGATTGACAACTAAAATTGATCCAATGAACTCGGCATCTTTGGTTGATTATGTCATGTATATCTTGCCAATTCAATAATAGTATAAATTCACTATTTGCCTATTTGGGTTCTCTCTTGCTTTCTAGACAAGAGGAAGACAAAAAAGTAGTACCAACCGTTACATGTGTATTTCTCTCTCCTACTAAGATGATCTAGTCAGAAGAAAGAATCTGAGGGTACAAATTAAGCCTCTTTTAATTTCCGACTCTTCTGCTTATGATTTAAAGTTATAATTTATTAAGGATAAGACAGACCTCATTACTCAAAACAGATTCATATAATCTGTATAAATTATCCATCAATGAGGAGGTCCTTAAATGGCTAGTAGTGTTCAAGTTTTGCGTTTGATAAATCATTAACTATTGAATGAACCTTGAAATATCGAGAGAAATGATATATTTTCAAATTTAAATGCCAAATCATTCATTGTTATTCCTTTTAGCTACTCTTGCTTTTCTTTCTCTGTTTCTGATCTTTTAAGCTTCTGCTTAAGTATTTTCCTACATTACTATACTAGCCTCTCAATCTCCATAAACAACATACCAAATCTTGCCTTTAGTTTACTTTCTTAGAATCCTTTTGACTATTAACTCTCAACTGATAGAACATCCCAAAAACAGTAATTGACAAGATTTTAGTATATTTTGGTTCACCTTGGGATATCGATGAAGCAAAACCCAGAAGAACTTGATTTTCCCATTCCCTTCAACTTATGTCCCAGCATTCTCAAGTGTTAGCCAATCTTCTTTTCTGCTTACAAGACATGATGCTGTGGCCACACCATTCCACTCCGGACACTTATACGTGACATTTGCATATTTCCTTTCTCATGCTTCTTTAACCTTCTACTATGCTGCAGTTTTGCTTAGTGTTTCTGCCAGTTAGATTGAAACTAACTAGTTATATTATTTACTAGTCATAAAGAGTGCAGTTTATCCTTAGGCTCCGTGCAATGGTGTGCACTTAAATTTGGTAAGAAGATGGCTTTTTGGCCAAACTTTTTGATCATCAATATCAGATTTAAACAGGACATGGCCTCTTAAGATGGGGACAAAGCATACCTTTCCTTATAAATTTAGATACGCAAGCATTTCCTTTGTAGTAACTTCATTCAGATAGTAAGGTATAGGCTAGAAAGAAGATTCTTTTTCTTTGCTTGGCCTTTCTATGGCATATATATTCTATAAAATAAATTCTAGCGGTGGATTTTCTCTGCATAATATATCAAGGCAATCTCTAGAATGACTTTTGGTAAAATATAACCTCACAATCTATCCTGAGTTATTCCTTATCTGATAACTCCTTGCTTATATTGATTCTTTTAGCATCTCAATTTTGTTGAAGATTTAATAATAAATAACTAACTAACCAAGTATGCATATAGTATATGATACTCAAGAATGTAAATCTTCGAGAAGGCAAGTTTAGGTTTTAGGAAGTTCTTGCACTTTAATCAAGATTTTCTTGAAAAGCAAGTATGCAGGTTGATTGAAAAGTAGTTTTGTTTTCTTGTTCTTGTGTTGAATCGAAAATACTCAAGGGATCAAATCAACAATAGTTTGCATGATGATGTTAACCTAGTTATAGAATGGAACCTACATGACTTCATATATTTTGATTCACCTTGGAATACTTGTGCTTACGTATGAAGCAAAAACCAAAAGAACTTGATTTTCCTATATCCTTCAACTTATGTCCCAGCATAGCCAACCTTCTTTTCTGCTTGCAAGACGTGGTAACTTCAATTTCATGCTGGTGGCTATACCATTGTGGACACTTATAACATTTACATGCTGCCTTGGTTAAGCTTCTTTAACCTTCTTTTATGCCGCAGTTTTGTTAAGTGTTTCTACCAATAAGATCGAAACTAACAAGTCATATTTATGTTAGGATCACTGTTGAAAGCTTAGGAAAATACATGAGAAGGTAAAGACACTGTTTGTTGTCCAGAACATTGACTTACAATTTTGGAGAAAGAAATAGAAAAATAGGGTAGCTGTAGGGTGACTGGTCGAAGAATATAAGAAGGTTAAGTCGGGAATTGTGAGGGTCACTTTTTTGGGTCTATAAATCTTTCCTTTGGTTGAGCAGTCAGAGAAGAATAAGTGTGGTTTTGGCCCTTAGGATGGAGAGTGCCAATCTCTCACAAGTTTGGCAAGATTTTTCCGTTTTAGAGAGTTGTATCAGTGTGTGTGGTTTGTGTCTTTGTTATTGTTTTCTGCTGAGTATCAATCTGTATGTGTGATCATTATCCCTATTATTTGCGCGTCTGAATGTGTAACAGAGTAGTATTGTTCTACGAATGTAATGGGTTTAGCTTCTTGATTTTTACTTCTATTTGAAATCGGCCTCAATGCAGTAGGGGTGTAGACGTTTCTAGTTTGGGTCATAACAATTTATAAGTCATAAGCAGTGCAGTTTATCCTTAGGCTTGATGCAAGGCAAAGGAATTCACATATTATGTATTTAAATTTTGCAAGAAGAGGGCTTCTTAGCCAAACTTTCTGATCACCAATATCAGATTTAAACATGACATTGCCCCTTTAACTGAACACAAAGCATAACTTTCCTTCTAACTAAAGATATGAAACCTTTTCCTTTGTAGCAGCACCATTCATATAGTTCAAGAGTTTCAACCTTTCCCTCTAGCTTTGGTTTGCCTTTACATGGCATCTAAATTCCATAAAATGAATTAGAGCTTTGGCTTTTCTCTGCATAATATATCAAGGCGATCTCTAGAATGATTTTTTACTGAAATCTAACTTCACAATCTATCCTGAGTTATTCCTTATCTGATAACTCCTTGCTTATATTAATTTTTTTAGCTTCCCGATTTTGTTGAAGATTTAATAATTAATATCTAACCAAGTATGCATACAGTAAATGATACTCAAGAATGTAAATCTTCATGAAGGGAAGTTTAGGTCTTAGGAAGTTCTTGTACTTCAATCAAGATTTTCTTGAAAAACAAGTATGAAGCAAGGGATCAAATCAACAATAGTTTGCATAATAATGTTAACTCAACCTGGTCACGGAAAGGAAACTACAAAGCTTCACCAAGCGTGTGTGTGTGAGAGAGTGTGTGTATATAAAACCTAGCTGTAGAAAAGAACTTACATAACTTCATATATTATGGTTATAATCTCATGTAGCATGAAAGTGATGATAGTTATACCTTTGATCAGCAAACTTCTGAAGCTTGAAGGCCTAATTTTATCATTTTACGTTTGTGAGGCTGTTGGGATGTTCAAAAACTAAAGTTAATCTAACATATAGTCTTTTTAGTTCAGAATAAGTTTGATTTGAAATTGCATAATGACTTGAAATAGTAATTTAGTCCTTAAAATCAGACCAGTCATAATTATTCAAGTGTGAGCTGGACACAGCAGTGTTGCAATATTATTTTTTGATAGGTCTTTCAAAAGGTCTGATGGAGAATGGGTAGTAACCAGGACTCTAATTCTCACGATGTAGCCAAAATAGATAAAAATAGAACTTGGAAACAACTTGAAATAACTAAGACCATGTTTAAAATATGTAGTTCTTTTAACCAATAAAATAAAAAAATTGTGGCAGAAAGAAGTAAAGGACAGAAGGAAAATATGACATAAAAATTAAGGGAAAAGATATGAGCTGCAGATTTAAAGAATTTACCCACCGGAAACTTGTCCAAATATAAGTGAATTTAACTCCTAATTAATTTCCTTAGATGCACAAATAAATTAAGTGTACCTGCCAACCAAGATCCTTTTAATGACCTTTTGGATATCTCTGAACCCATACAAGGCCCTATGCAGAACCTTGCTTCTCCACTGGCTTTACAAACGGAGATGAAAGCCTATTGGATGTGAGTGAGTCTTTCAACTAAAAGGGAAATTTGATTGTCCAATGGTCAAGTTTAATGCAGACAACAATAAAACATTATACTCTGCGGTGAAGCACTTAACTTCAGAATATCAATTTCCTTGCATCAAGTTGACTTTAGCAAGGCGTTTCTGAAAAATTTGATTCCCCAGAAGAGGTCTGCCAGACCTGACCCTGTAGCATTGAGCAACAATCTGCAGTTTCATTAGTTCAACCTCTCCTCTAGTTTGTAAACTTAGCTAGCCTCTTTATGGACTCAAACGAGAACCTTAGGCTTGGTTGGAGAAACGCAATGAATACAGGAGATCTTTACAATTTGAACCCTCTAAAGCTGACTCCTACTGGTCATCCGTCTTCTTTATGTTGATGATTTAGTCCTCACGTCCATCAACACTACAGCATTCACATCTCTTATCTATCAAATGACAGATTCCTTCTGTTTAGAAGATCTCCATAGTACTCCATAGTAGCTTGAATTTCTTTTACGGAATTGAGCTTTGTCATGTCAGAATTCTGCTGTCTCAAAATATATTGCTCAACTGCTGCAGAAGAAACCTTCACCTATCTAAGAACGAAGAAGCACCACCTCATGATGTTAAACTCTGTAGGAGCATCCTTGAAGCTCTTCATTAGATACACATATGTATGTATGTATTAAACTCTCCCAAACGTAGCTTATGTAGTTTAAATGCTTAGACACTTTATGCAGGAGCACATGGACCCTCACAGGAGGTCTGTTAAATGGTTGCTGAAGTATCTCAATGACACTCTTAATCATATTATCTTTATTCACAGTTTGTCTCATCTCATGATCAAAGTATTTGCTGATACTGACTGGGGCAGTAGTCTAATCTTGATGATTGAAGGTCTATTGATGGCTGCTGCTTCTTCAAAGGTAATCCAAAGATGTGGACTCCTACTCTGCCCAAACAACTTTGTGCTCACCCAACAAGCACAAAGTATGTTCCATCCTTTGACCAATTTGCTGATATACTCACCAAAGTCTTTCCATTCACTCAGTTCTCTTATTTGAGGCAAAAGCTTTGCTTATAAACAGCTAATAAACTCACAAATCTTTGTTCAGCTTCAAGACTTTGAACTAAAAATCTGATTCACCATAGCACTCTTTTTTTTTTTTTTAATAATTCTTCTGCTGGCATTGTGCCCACCTATATAATCCACAATAATATGATGTCTTTTGGAACTGTAGGTTCTTCGCCAATTGAGTAAAAGGAAATTTCCAGAGTTTGTTTTCTTCTTCTCTTCTTTTCCTTACCCAAACATGCTTTTGTTTTCTTAGATTCTGGTTGGAAGCCTATATTAATACTTCCATGGTCTCTTGTTAAGGAGATCTCTATTACCTTAATCCTATCTTGCTTCTAATTGAGTCATCTTCAATCTCAAAGTAGGTATACGCAATATCACTCTCCCAAGTTGCTAGAATGACTTCTGTGAAAGCTGTCCTATGTTATTTTTTATCTGATATCTCCTCGCTGAATAATTACTGCCACCCACTTTAACCTTTAACATCTCACAAAAGCTGAATATTGTAGCTTAGCTGATGCCAATTGTAAACTAATGTGGACTCTTAGATCTATACTTGAACTATATTCAAGAGATAATGAATCATGCTTCATCCTTTTAACCAAGTTGCTGATATAGTCACCAAAGCCTTCTCATGTACTGAATTCCTGTTATTCCAAGCAAATGGTTCTTGTCTAAACTGCTGAAGAACTCATAAACACCTGTTCTTCAATCAATGCTCTTTTGTATGAATCCCAAGGTTCTTGTTTTCATTAACCAACATTGTTATTTTCTTCATTGTGCTATTAGCATTGTTAGCACTGTCACCTAAAAGCGCGTAACAGTATGATATAATTGACTATTCATTTGGCATTTCTATTACTTCACCTGTTGAGAAACAAAAGAATTTTCCAGATTTCGTTTTCTTGTTCTTTTTCTTCCCTTTCCAGGTTGTTCTTTTTCAAATAAATGAATTTAAATCTCTGCCATTGAATGTTTAGTCCAAGGGTGGGATGGGAAGAACAAAAAGAAAGAAAGGATGAGGAGAGAATCTATATCTATATTAGGGTTAGCGCTATAACAAGTAACGTGTTTTCACGAACTTTTATGATAAAAATTTACCGTGTGATAATAAATCACAACTTGATATTTATATATGCTATTCATTTAATGACTATAGTGTGACATGTTTTATACAAATATTCTCATCCATTGGAGTGGTATTATGAGTTAAAGTGACATTTATTTATCTTTAGTGAAAATTATAAATAGATTTACAAATACATAGACATGTGCATGGCGTATATACGTATTTATTTAGAATTTATAAACATTTTATATATTTACTTTTTATGCAAAACATCTATATATTTTTTCTTTTTCTATCTATCAATATTGAAAACAAACCACATGCACAGATTCGGAAATAATCCAAACATTCTTTGAATATTATCATTACATGTATGCATTTGTTGAAAAGATAACTACTGAATTTTATTCTCATATTATAATGCAACTATCTAAAGCATCATATTGCTTTTGAAAATAAATTTAATAGATAATATTTTAAAAATCATCATTGAGATAAGCATTTATTAAAAAAATAACTTAATTCACAAAATCATGGAATGATGATTTCATGTGTTCTGAATTGGATTTAAATCATTAACAAATATAAAGATTTGCAAAATATGGCTATTAATCAGTTGGAAAAAAAACTTGTGAGAATCCAAATTGAGTTTGAATTGCCTGAAAGTAAATTAATATGAAATGAAAGAACATAGGAAATTTTGGGCAAAAAAAGAAAAAAGGTAAGAAGATGGAACTTGGAAGAACTACAAATTTAAAAGTGAAAGGACACAAACCCAGAGTCACCTTGTGAGAAATATACAAGCACACCGTGAAAAGCACATACAAAAGACCAGAGGGACGCCAAGAGAGAGAGAAAGAGAGAGAGAGTGGAGGGGGAAGAAAGAGAGAGAGCCCACGTACCACCGTGATTCCTTGATTTTCTTGGTTGTGAGGGGTGAAGATAATAATAAACAATCCGTTTCCAAGGTTTCAAAGTATCTTCTCAAGCCAACAGAGGGAAACTAGATCCTTCCCAACAATGGCCGACTGGGGCTACTTCAATCTGGTCATATAGATTTGATAGGAGGTATATGCATGGTATATATTGTATACTCGTTCTACATTTCAGAATTTATTCGGTGAATCCTCTTTTACCTGCTGCAAATATGATTTAATTGACGGTTTTTAGTTGATGTTTCACGGATTTAGAAATAGTCTGGTGATATATGCTTATTGTATTGTGTTTGTAAGATTGGAATTATTGTTTTAAATTGCAGAGAAGACGCCTAGTTATACAGATTTCAGTGAAGAAAATGGGTTTTGGTTTCTTGGGGGAGATTATATTCGGTGAACAAATGTTTGATTGAGCATTCTTCATGTCTTCCTGTTTTTTTTTTTTTTTTTTTCCGGTAGAAAAGTTGATTAGATTAGTCAGTAATATCAATTAGGTTACGGATTTGCTGGTCTGGTTTGGATATGAATTTAATGTCTGACGGCTGGGACTAGGGAGATAAGGGCTTCCTCCGATTGAAGAGGGAACAATGAATAATAATCGCACAGAGACTAATCTGTTGGGAAAAATTATTGCTTTGAACTCCATTATGTTAGGGCTTGCAAGGATTTAATTTTTTAGTTTTGTGGAGATTGTCAGCCCCATTCTTGCAACCTTTTGACTAAAATGCTTAATCACTCAAGAATTCTAAAAAGAATTATCAATGGCACCCAGCGTAGGGGCATGGTGTGGTGGTTCTATGGCCTTGTTTGTCATCATGACATCATCTATGGTGAATGCTTTACTGAAGATGATAGGCAAAAGAGATTTTCGTAACTCTGTCCTCATTTTGGCTTACATGTGGCTGATGTGCTTGTTGGTTTTAAGGGTATAAATAGAGTACGGAAGAACATAGTTTCTCTTTGTTCTCTGACTGCTACAGAGACTTTGACCTAGGGAGCTCCATTGTTGTATCTACAGGCCTTATTTCTTCACGGAGCTGGCCAAAATCCTCATTCAATTTACTAGAAAGCTTTCCCTTCTCACACCTATATGTTTTCATATTATTTTTAGTCTTCTTTTGGTACCTCTATCTGATTTTGTTCTTCATCTTTAAATGACCGTGTTAATAGCAATTTGAAAGTTAATGCCTTCAGAACAAGGGATGTTGAATAAACATCGTGATTTTAAAGCAAAAGAAGTTTGTAAATGGTGCTTATGAAAGCATTGGTGGACTTGATGATCTAATTGTTATGGAGAGTAGTTCTAGTTATTAGAAATTTAGAATTTCCTAAATGATGTTTCTTTTCCAATGAATTCCTATGAAACAATATTTTTTTTTATTGGTTGCCACTTGTTTTAAAGGGTTGTTGAGATGAGAAGGTTGAGATGGATACGTGATCATATAAGAAAAGATGAGTTCATAGTGAACATATTGGCGAAAGAATTGGGGTGACATCTATTGAAGAGAAAATGGTGGAAAATCATTTGAGGTGGTTCAAATGTATTCAAAGAAGGCCACTGAATGCACCAGTGAGAAAGGTAGATGAAACAATATGAAGTCCTCTAAAAATGAGTAAAAGAAAACGGAGGAGCTCACTCAGTGAAGTTATTGAGTGAGACTTTTTGGTTAACAATCTATCTAAATATTTTGAAGATTTGGTTATTGATAGAGCACAATGTCATTGTGCAATCTATATAGCTGAACCCACTTAGTGGGATTAGGCTTCTTGTTGTTGTTGTTATTGCCACTTGCTTTGATGACCAGTGTTATGTATTTTTGGCTACATGATGATACTTTTTTTTTGCATTTTATTCTGTTTTAGTTTTATGTATGATGTGCTGATTTTATTTTCTTTGTTGAAGTTTTGCTTGATGTATTGACTGGTCTATTGTGCATGTTTATATGCTTTGGTTTTGAGTTTAAAGTTTTTCAATAGGGTGGCATGGCATCATCCAATATAGGATTTTTTTTTTTTTTAAAAGGGTTGCAGCAGTTTCTTCTGCATGTCGTAGACAGCTCTAATTGCGACACATTTTTCTTGATGTCTAAAGATTTTGGTTATTGTAATTTTGGATCCATTGCTTGTTTTATGCATTTTGATTATCTTTGTTCCCAGTTCTGATCATGATTCTTAATTCAGGATGCTACCCATGTGTTGATGAGATTGATGGGCAGCTTCCTACAATTCAATAATCTTTCGTTTGGCACACAGAGAGACTGTAATATGGAGTTTTAACTTTGGGGTTTGTGGCCACATACAGGGAAGCTTTTCTGTAACGGATTCAGGTGATAATGTTAATGCAGAGTTCTCTTCCTAGTTCAATTGAAGCTGCTCTATTTCATGTATCGGATAAAGGGAAAGAAGATGCTCTATGTGACTGGATACCTAGTGCTGAAACTTGGCAGGTGTGCCTGAAATGCAAAAGATGCCCTCTTACCTGCTGCAGAAAAGTTGAAACAATGCAAGAGCAAGAGGATAGAAGGAATGATGATGTTCCGTGCTGCAGAAATGTTGAAGCGATGCAAGAGCAAGAGGATAGAAATGATGATGATGTTCCGTGCCGCAGAAATGTTGAAGCAATGCAAGAGCAAGAGGATAGAAATAATGATGATGTTCTGTGCTGCAGAGAAGTTGAAGCTGTGCAAGAGCAAGAGGATAGAAGCAATGATGATGTTCCATGCCGCAGAAAAATTGATGCTATGCAAGAGCAAGAGGATAGAAGGAATGATGATGCTCCATGCTGCAGAAAATTTGATGCTATGCAAGAGCAGGAGGATAGAAGGAATGATGATGCTCCTTGCCGCAGAAATGTTGAAGCAATGCAAGAGCAAGAGGATAGAAGTAATGATGATGGTCTGTGCTGCAGAGAAGTTGAAGCCGTTGAAGCTATGCAAGAGCAAGAGGATAGAAGGAATGATGATGTTCTGTGCTGCAGAGAAGTTGAAGCCGTGCAAGAGCAAGAGGATAGAAGGAATGATGATATTCCATGCCGCAGAAAAATTGATGCTATGCAAGAGCAAGAGGGTAGAAGGAATGATGATGTTCCATGCTGCAGAAATGTTGAAGCAATGCAAGAACAAGAGGATAGAAGTAATGATGATGTTCCATGCTGCAGAGAAGTTGAAGCCGTGCAAGAGCAAGAGGATAGACGGAATGATGATGTTCCATGCTGCAGAAAAATTGACGCTATGCAAGAGCAAGATGATAGAAGGAATGATGATGTTCCTTGCTGCAGAAATGTTGAAGCAATGCGAGAGCAAGAGGATAGAAGGAATGATGATGTTCCGTGCTGCAGAGAAGTTGAAGCCATGCAAGAGCAAGAGGATAGAAGGAATGATGATGTTCCATGCTGCAGAAAAATTGATGCTATGCAAGAGCAAGAGGATAGAAGGAATGATGATGTTCCATGCTGCAGAAAAATTGATGTTATCCAAGAGCAAGAGGATAGAAGTAATGATGATGTTCTATGCTGCAGAAATGTTGAATCAATGCAAGAGCAAGAGGATAGAAGGAATGATGATGTTCCATGCAGCTCAAACTGTTTGAGCAGCTTAGATCGACTGCCAACTGCCAGTACAATGACTGGACATGCTGTGCCTAATCTAGTTTACAGGAGAAAGAAGCTACGGAAGAATTCAACTGTGCCCGTTTTAAAAATAGGGCCTATGTCTGTGCCAGCAAGTGCCAGTTGCCCTTTATTCATAAGCCCCTGTGCTCATAGATTAACATTGGAGCATCAGCCAGCCAGCTCTCAAATTGAACGAGTTACTGAAATGGTTAATGATCCTGATGCACCCATTGTCTTATGTGAAACAGCAGTAGATAGCAGCATACCTAAAAATTTAGGTATTAACAGCATTTATGATAGTTGCTCCTCATCAAAATCAAATATGGAAATTGTTTCAGATTCCATAGAAACTGGAGTGGATGACACTGGCGAATGCTCCTCATCTAGTGTATTAGTCATGGATGCCCCTGTAGAAGACCTATCAGCAAAGGATTTCTGCGTCAAAATTTTAAGAAGCCATGGACTCCTTGGAGAAGATTCTCATGCTCCTACTGTAGCTTCTCAAGTGCAGGTGGCTACCTCTGGTAATAGTTGCAGTTCCCGGTCATGCAAAATATGTGGCCATTTAGATGGCTCATTGAGCATGCTTATATGTGATCATTGTGAAGAGGCACACCATCCATCCTGCATGGTTCCGCGTGTGAAAAAGTTACCAATTGATGAATGGTTTTGTCATTCATGTATAAAAAGGAAGCAGAAAATTCTTAAGGAGTCAATTATTAGACGTTCACCAACTAGTGAAATGGAATTATGCAGATCTTCCTCAGTCAATGGAGGATTGAATCCTATACTGTTGATGTTGAATGATTCTGAGCCAAGTAAAAGTGGTGTACGGGTTGGTAAAGGTTTTCAAGCAGAAGTTCCTGAATGGTCAGGTCCAATAGGAAGGTATGCTCTTTTTCTATCCTGAATTTTTTTTTTTTTTTTAAATTTTTTACCATATTCTTCTAGCCTTTCCTTGATGTCAGTCTATGAAAATACTCCTTTTTTAATTGGGACTTGGGAGTCTCTTACCAATTGTGACAAGAGTCTATATTGCTAGGTTTAAGCATCTAGAGAAGTTATACTATCTTTCTATGAAGTGTCACCTTACATGTTGCTGATCTTTTTCTAACAGAGAAAGTGGTAATGTTTTGTGGCAAAAATAATGATGTTTATATTAACAAGTGCATATGATGTTATAAGGATATATGTAAATATTTTGGGGAAAAAAAAGAATTGTATGGATGTGCCTTTACCCAGCATTTTCTTCTTGTTTGGATGTGTTGATCTTTATTGAGGTGGAGTGCTTCACTTATTCTAGAGTTGATGACTGGATTTGTTCCAAGAAGGTAGGCCATTTTTCCAAGTGTCCTATATATTTTGGGTTTTTGAAGAGTATTCCTATCATCTGCTGGCTTTACCTTAGTAATCATCTGTGTATGCAGCATTTAGTGTGAGCATTTTTATATCTTGAGGAAAATCTAAACGATGTTTTTCAGCAAAAGACCCTTTTGCCTTATAGAATATAAGATTGTTTTTTGGAAGCATGCTTGTGTGACCACTCTTAAGAATATTATTAGCATGGACATTTAGTAAAACACAACTACTTGGACTAATGGTAAAACCAAGAGTGATCAAAATTACTCTTTCTCTAGCCGAATAAAAAGAGCTCCTTCTCTGAAGTGCCCAAACCATGCATGTCACATCTGGCTTAACTATACAATGAGCCAATGACTTAAGGTAATATACCTCACCTCTCGACCCTGGGCAACAAAACCTTGTGGTTGTTCCATGTCAACTTCTGCATATAAATCACTGGGTAAATGCATTCTTAGCATCCAGCGAATGACTAAGCCAGTGTGACTCATGGCTCTAGAGAGATGTTAGTGATTGGATAGAGATAGGTTTAACGATATGTGAACATGTTCAGTATAACCCAGGTGATATTTTGTGCTACCCTTTGGCAACTTGATGAGCTTTTAGATGAACAAAATAATCATTAGGGTTAACCTGCACACTAAACACTTACAACTAATGGTTGGCGTGCCATATGGGAGAGGCACCAAATCCGAAGTCTTTTTTTTTTTCTTTTCACTTGTCATCCCCTCTTGCATTGCCACTTTCCTCCTAGCGTGTGAGGTTGCTTTTGGGATAGACACCGGTTTTTGGAAATGACCACACAATCAATGTAGGCTGCAACTTGGAATTTGTATTCTTATAAACAGGCATCCACATTTTTCCATGCATTGCATGGGGTCTAAAGTGAGCCGTACTATTTTTAGCTTATAAATAATGTGACTTGGTATATATTTTATATTTTATATTCCTAGGCTGTAGTGAGCCCATGTAACTTATTAACATCTTCATGTTAACATTTTGGCAGTGATGATGACTGTGCTGAACCGTTGGAAATTGGTTCTTCAGCAATTTCCAGTTTGCTGGTAAAATTGCTGGCTGCTGGATTATTCATTTTGTGATCGGCATTTTCATTTGATTTTGAAAATAAATGAACTATAATCTTGCTCTGTAGGAAAAGAATCTCAAAAGGTCAACAAGACCCAGCTCCATTGGTAATTGGCTTCAGTGTCAAGAGGTTGTAGATAGAGCCAAAGGAACTATATGTGGTAAATGGCGCAGGTAAGCCACACGGCGTAGTTCAGGGTGTTGACTAGAGTGTTCATTTAGTAGTTAGTATTGTGGGATCTTTCACTTAAGAAAATTTCTTTCTTGAACCATGAAAAACATTAGTTCTAGCTAGGACAGCAGTTCAAATTTCAACCCAAGTTGAATACAAGTGAGATGGTCCCAGAAAATTTGCAATATTTATTCCACTAGTGTGTTACTGATGAAGGAATAGCCTCTTTTGGTAATTTTTACCTCAGTTGACTGTCTCCTAGCACTCAAGTAATTCCTTCAAATTGGATCTGACGGATTTAGTAATAAGCATAACAAATTGGTGATTTTATGATTTGTGTTTGTGGAGGAGTGTTAGTTATTTCTTTTAATGGTGCTAGTAGAAGGTACTCCTTGTATACATGTATTGGACCCCTTTTTCTCTAGAAATAAGATGGTTTAGGAGCTAAAAAGACAGGTTCATGTGTCGGGAACTTCTCTTTTCTCTCTAAATATACAGATCATTCACTTAATGGGGGAGAAAAGAGAGAAGTATGAGGAAAAATCTATAGTTGATTATGCTTGAAATGCCTAATGCAGAAAATATTTTTGTTATGGCAGGGCTCCTCTTTTTGAAGTCCAAACTGATAATTGGGAGTGTTTCTGTGCCATCCAGTGGGATCCGGCTCATGCTGATTGTGCTGTACCTCAGGTAAAGTGTTTTGGGGATACCATGTTTACAGAAAGAGGGGATTATTATATTTATAAATGTTGATTTTTAAATCCGTGTCTGAGAATGGGATGTTAATTGGTCTCTAGGACTTTCAACCCTGAATTTTAAAATGCTTGACATAAATTATGTTCTCAGAACTAACATCATGGTCAGTGTTTGATGCTGTTGTTAGTGTGGTTGACTATTTCTCACCGGATCTTTTGTTTTTCTTTTTATTTGTTTGTTTTTTCTTGCTTTCTCAATTTTGTTTAAAAGAAAGAAGGAACCCTGCTCTTCCTTTTAATCTTCTTTCCGTATTAGGTGATGAAGAATAGAAGGCCTAGGCAGAGATTGCATAACATAATGCAAAGTTTGCATTATGTCGAATCTGCTCTGTGGTGGCCCTTACATAACTTTGCTTTTTGTTTTCCTGCTTTAGAGTAGTTTTCTGTCAATTTGGATAATATCTTTCTAAGTCCTGTTTTGTGCTTCAAATTCCGCTCTCCATTTTTTCAAGAGTTTTTCCTTTCTTTTTTTCTTTTTTTTTTTGCCCTTGGTGGTAAGTTCTTTTTCCTGTTCAAATCGCTGCAGGAGGTGGAAACAGATCAGGTTCTGAAGCAACTGAAGTATATAGAAATGGTATGTTTTGCATATGTAATTTTGAAGAAATTTAGGTCTTTGATGGTTCTCTGAACCTATTATATTGAATGCAATAGTCAAAGGTAAGCAACTGCAGAAGAACACAGCAGGGCTGCATTGCTCTGATGCTTACCTTCCATGACATGAATCAGCGCAACATATATATATATATATTTGTCTCTGTGTGTGTGTGTGTGTTTCTCTTTTTGGTTTTTTTTTTTTGGGGGGGGGGGAGAGGAGGTTAAGCTTAGTAAACTGGCCAATCTAATCCCTGTAAACAATGAAATAAAACCAATGTTGGCTATGCGATAAAAACTAATCTTCTTCAAAACTAAAATAAATCAAGAGAATTATCTCCAAAAACCATGTGACTAATGACACCGTCTACAAGTTGTATAGTGTACAGTGATAAGTCCTAACTTGTTCAATTTTTCAAACTTGATTCTCAGTAGGCCCTTGGTGAACATGATTGATACTTGTGAATTGAGAGGAACATAGCCTAATTTCAAAAATGATATGTGCATATAAAAATACCTCCATGCCTCTATGATCTCCTGGTTGGGGGGGGGGGGGGCTTTTTCCCTCGGTCATCTTGAGATATCTTGGGATTTTATACATCGCCTCCTAATTTTCCTCATTTGGTTTGTTCATAGAAAAGAGTTAAGCTAATTAATTTCCCTACAGTTCATTGGTGTAAAGATATGTAGATATATTGTAATTAGTATAATATCCTATCAGATTATATCTGATTTGATCCTATACTAATTACAATATATCTACATATCTTTACAATTAGTATCTTCAAATATTAATTGGAGGGTTTCTTGCCTTGGGTGATTCTTTGTAGATTTTGGTGAATTTTTGGTGATTAAAGCATGCTAGGATTAAGGAACACCTTGCTATAATGCCGCTTGGTGTCCAAAAGGGAAAGAAAAAAGAAAGTGAGAATCAGGAGGAAGGAGGACATGAGAGATAAAGGGAGAAAAGGAGAATAGGAGAGAGTGTGACAGCAAAATGACACTAGGGTTCTGCAGTGAAAATAACCTTGGGACTATTTATAGATCCCAAGTACTATAATGAAAATAATACTAATAACGTAAACCTAAATAAAATAATATAAAACCTAGTTTAAATTAGAAGTAAAAGAAAAACTAACTACAAATAAAAATAATTGCTGAAATGCAGTGCTCCCCTTGGTCTCAAATAGACACTAGTAACTAATTCATGTATATATATTAAGTATTGTTAGTATTACCCATTAAATTTGTACCAAACAAAATTGTTTTTCTGCATTTTCCCCCATTCAATGGTTAACCTCTCTCAATAATATACTGTGCTTTTCTTAATTTATCAAGTAAATTTCATTTAAATGTCAGATTTTAATGAGAGGTAAAAATGGAAAAACTCAATTAATGAACCGGACAAAGTAGAAGAGTGTCTTATATTTTGAACCAAACAAACTCTCAAGTGTCTAATATTTGAGACCGGAGGAAGTATTACCACAACATAGATCAAAATTTAACTAAAATCTCTTATGCCTACAGTAAGTATTTCTAAATTTCTCATCATTGTCAAACTTGTGATGAATTCAATTTGAGACTAGTTATTTGCTCCCATTTTTCTCTCATTTTATCTCTTCTCCCTTCATCTCTTCACTTCTCCCTTTCTCCTTTTACGTCACTGTTTATCCCTTTATCCTCTCCTTCTCTGTTTTCTTCCTTATTTTATATCAAAAGGTACCAAATCAAGCTTTGTCTTGTTCACTGGATGCTGTTTTCATTGGAAATTTGTGGAAATCTCTTAGCAAAGCTATAGATCACCTCTATATTTGCCAGATCCTGTACTGCCAGCTGTCAAATCAATCAACAAATCACGACATTACATCTGTCATCTAGAATGCTGAGGCACCACAGACAAATGAGATCCTTTGTGCATGGGTGTCAAGTGGCGCACATGCTAGCCTAGAGTTCATTTTCTGCAGTTTTCAACCTCTTCATTTGTTTTCCCCTATTTTGGTTCATCTGAAAGGCAAAGATTCATCATTTGCGAGTACTTGGTTACTCAGCTTCATTATGCCTTTGTTCTGCCCTTACCTGCTGAGGAAATTAATGCAGTTATGGATGATCATATTTCTCTTTTTCCCTGTTGTCCCATCACTGTCTTGTTTGTTAGAAAGGTTCCTCAAATTTGTATGCTGCATGTATCAATGAGGAGTTTTGTTGCTTAGATCCCCCCTTGTGAAACTTTTATCAACAGACTTCCTCTCTTCCATTCTCTCTTTGTCGCTTTATCTATCTTGTTCTCATCCTTCTCCTTCTCCCTCCCCTATTTCCTCCCTTACCCTGCATCACCATTTTGCAATTAGCCTCCATAGAATTGTTAGTAGGCTGACACCCTATTATGCCTATTTGCTTAAGCAAATCTAGTGTATAATAAGTTTGTGACATAGAGAGTGCCCTCCTTGGTTGTAGCAACTTCGATAATGAGAAAGTATCTTAGTCTTTCCCAGGTTCTTGACATCAGATTCATGAGTTGACAGTCTGTCTTGATTTCTCTAGGTTCTCCGCCCCTCCAACATAATGACCATTAATTACAATATCATCCTCCATATTGAGACATCTTCACAAATTCAGTGTCATGTATATGGAGTTGTTTGTACCCTAATGTCTGTAGTTGTAATGATTGTATCGAGCTTTTCAAATCATGCTCTAAGAGATTGGTTAAGCCTATAGAGAGCACATAGCCTACATGCTTTGTCTTAGCTGTTTACGCATCCTTCAGTTGGTGGGTGGTGGCAAGTCGTTAGCTCCACTAAAGTCTAATAATATAATATAATTAGAAGTGACATGGCAATTCACAGATTCCATGTTCTTATTATTCTTCTTATTGGGGCTAAGTTTGCGAACATTGAGAATCCTCTTCCTCAATTCCAAACCCTGAAAATAACAATCATCATTGTTAAAATGATTGGCACTGTTTTGATCTTATATTAGTTTGTTGATGGAGAGAAGATTGCAATTTAGTTGAAACCATTTAGATAATCTCATAGCACCAAGACCATCCCCCCAGCTGCAGAATCTTCAGCAATTCTGACTGCTAACTTTTCAAAGATGGGAACAACAATCAGATGCACACTACTTCATCTGAGAATTCGATCTCTGAATTTGTGTATGTAATGCCATCAAATTTTACTTGATTGGTCCATATCACCCACTGTTTGATCTGGCCTTTGGGCTTCAATAAGTTTCTGGAGAATCTCAGGTTGTTTATAGTTAAACATAGTTGGTTCGAGGGAATTGGTAGCCTTCGTTCTGCCACAAACCATGAGATCAGCACGTTCACGTTGCTGTCCTGGCTTCCAGTTGAAGGTTTTAAGCTTCCAGCAAATATTCCTGATATGAGCTGTTTTAAGACAATGATCACATGAAGGTCTGCCATTCTGAAGGCGTTGTCACTGGTAGTGTTGGTGTCCTTAGTGACTAGAGCTAATGATTTAGAAGTTGACTGATGAGTAGAGCCTTTGTGAGAAGCTTTATTCGCAGTGTACCTCAATAAAGACCCCAAAAAGAGAGGGTAGAGGAGTCTTGACCGTGATTCGCGCTGTGGTTTAATCAAATGCCATGTCGAAACCTAAAAGTAAACCATAAACGCTAACTTTCTCCTCTATCTTGTAGGTATCAGCTTCCGTAGTATCAGTTCATTCATCAACTTCATAGAGAGTTTGTGCCAAAATTTCACCAATGTGTTGTAGTACTGAGTCCCACTGGCATCACCTTTTTTAGGATCTTTCAATAGCCCTTTGCTACGAAATAAAGCAGTGTTTTCCACCTTAGATTGGGATTTATGTATAGCGTCCCAAATTTCCTTTGCTGTGTTGGCCAAATCTAAGGTTGCATCATTCTCCAACGTCATGGAATTTAACAACCATGATTGTTTTTAATGTCATAATGGTGACTGGTTGAATAGCTTCGTTGGTGACTGTTTGTATTGGGGATCATCAAAATAAGTTACCAATGTTGATTCTTTAAATTACAACCCATACTCCTTATGGTTGCAATTTAGTCTTTATCAATGATACAATGGTGTTTCCATCTAATAATAGTAACAAATCTACATAACATTTTTGTGATGTCAGAGAGATCATGTTATAATTTAGAGAGTAAATGAGTAGATTTTGGAAGCATCAGTAATGACTTTACATCTATAGTTCTTGGGAGTGAATGTGCTTCTTAACATCCTTAGCTACAAATGTTATAAGTTGAGTCTTCAGGTGTCATTCATTTTCCCTTGCCCACGTACATAACCCTGCAAGCATTGGTTGTTACTCTGTACTTTGAAGCTTTTCCCTGTGGAGATATCTGTCATGCTTCTTCTTTTTTTTTTTTTTTTGGGTCTGCTTGTGTCCTAACTTCCTATATTCTGTGCAGTTGAGGCCGCGACTTGCCGCAAAACGTTCAAAATTAGACAACAAAAGGGGTGGTGAATGAAGGATCTTGAATATGGTTTTGGTCAAAATTAGACAACAAAAAGGGTTGTGAATGAAGCATCTTGAGTATGGTTTTGGTTGGAAGAGGTTGAACGTTGGCCTTTGTATATTGTTTGTTGAGGTCCCGTATGCCAGAATCTTAGATATATTCCATTTGAGTTGGGACTCAGCAAATTCTTACTTAGGCTTTTGTATGGATTCAGAATAGCATAGCATCTCAATGAGTAGGTTTTGTAATTTGATGCTTCTCCATATTATCTCTTTAGACGCTTGTTAAGTTCAACAAAAATGATAGGTGAATTTTTGTATAGCTCAACGTCATGTGACTGGTTTATTCATTTCTTTCTTTCTTTCTTTCTTTCTCATTTTTTCACATCTCACCCCATTCAGTTTTTAATACAAAACTTATTTAACTAATTTGATCAGATTATGAAAGTTAGATAAATTAGTTAATTATAAGAAATATGACAAGTTTTTTTCTGAAATACCATAATTATTTTTCTTAATATTCTGCCTCCTTTTCTCACTTATTTGATTATAGTTGAGGGAGTATCTATAAGGATAATTTAGAAAAAATTGATAAATATGATAAATAGGTTTTATATTTAAGGCTAAGATTAATTTAACAATTAAGTTTTATATTAAAGATCAGAAGAGTATTTATAATTTAAATCTAATATTTTAATTTATTTCGTCTCCTAAATTTATATATATATATTTTTCTAAACTATCCTTGAACATATTAAAGGAGGAGTTCTATTAATGTGATAGTTTCAATGCAATTGTTTTTTTTTTTTTAAAAAATGTAGAGAAACATACATATTTTAACAAATAAACTAAGTTTACTAATTTTTTTTAATATTTATAAATTAATTATTTAATTTATATATTTAAGATTGGTGGGAGTACAATTGTACCACCGAACCTAATACAATCTTGGGAAAATCTCATAAAAGGAATTTGAAAGTTACTAAATCCGAAAGCAAGAATTTTTGAAAAAAAATGTGTTGTAGAAAATACTTTTGAATTGAGATTTGGTAATTTTCAGGTTTTTATTGTAAGCTACTGTTTTACCTATGGAGAGTCTGTTTAGAATTATTTTACAACCGTGGCTAAGAAATTTTGAACATATCTTACAAATTATAAGTAGTTGGAAGGCTAACGTCTTTGTTAGCATTGACGTTATTATGAATGTCATATCTACCAAAAAATCTGAAGTTCTTTTTCCTTTGGGACTCCATCCCAGTTTACATGGTCAAAATATAGCAGACGATTTTACGAAAACTGATCTCTGCTCAAAAAAAGAAAAAAAAAAAAGATTTTACGAAAACTGGTAAAGAGTTATTTATTGCATGCCACTTCCAATAAATAGTCTTTCACCCTTTCTTTTGTGGGCCAGAAAAAGAAGTATTCATTCATTTAAATTCAAAGCAGAACAAGATCACAATCACCACTCTAAATGAAAGCTAACCAACAAAGGAGACCAAACTCAATCCTAAAAGCTAACCAATAAATAGAGTAGTGGCATTGAAATTATATCCATATAATCATATATAGATATAAATATTTTCCAGCACACACACACACACATATATATATATATATAAAATACGAGTACCTTTTTGAAATAAATTTATCTTAGATTTTATTCCTTTTCTCTTTAAACTCTAACCTTCTATCATTGTCAATAGATATCTTTTGAGTAATTTTTAATTAAAAATTTCAAATAACTTGAGTGTGAAATAATTTAGAAAAATGAGAAAAAAATACCTATTAAATTTCAAAATGACAAATAGGTGATTTTGGCAAAGTTTGATTTGTTAACACCATTATAAGAGTAGTCAGCATAACCTATTTATCTTTTTAAATTCAACAGGTATTTTCTGTCATTTTTCTAATAATTTATTTCAAGAGAGCCTTATGCATTTTAAAAATTGATGGAAATATCAAAACAGAAAAAAGTATATATCTCGTCGTATATATCTATATATCTAATGCTAATAACTTTGAATGAATCATAAAAAGCTAATAACTTTTTACTACTATATTTGTTCTCTTTTGGGTTTGTTTCTTTTTCCCCCCTTTTCCACACTCTCTCATGATTCTGATACAAAATAATTTTACAGTTTTCCCTCTTACTGCTTATTTTGGTTTATATTTTTCTCTCCGAATTTTATGAATTTTTAAAATTTTCAATGAAAATCAATGAATATTCCAAATTCAATTAAAAAGGAAATAAAAGAAAATAACCTGAATTGTTTTAATTTTCTGAAAACTGTCACTTAAATCCTTTCAGCCCTTCATCTCTCTCTTTTTCACTGAATCTCTCAAAGATTAATTTATTTTGAGCCAAAATATGGTCTCCAAAGTGCACGATATTCCAAATCTTCAGACTTTTCTGTAAAGAAAATGTTAATAATTTGTGTCTCTCCTTACCAAGACAAGAAAAGATATGATATATCACAATAGTTGTACGATATATACAAAGACAAGAAAAGGTGCAGACTTTATTTTTCCTAAATTATTTAGCCTTTAGCATTAAAATAAAGATTTGGTTGATATTGTTTTCAAGTATCCAATAACGTTTTGCAATTAAGAATATTGCTACTTCTTTTCTCAAAAAAAAAAAAAAAGAATATGGCTTGTTAAGGCTCCGTTGTTTTGTGAGCAACTCACAAACTTTTGCAAGTTGGAACGAAAAAGTCTTCCAACTCTTTGTTTCGTCATTCTTTTTGAAAATAAAATTCTGAAAATTTTGTTTGCACCCACGACCTTCTAGGCAGCAGCACCTGATTAATTCAAACCGTATCTGCATTCTTTAAGATTGAACGGATTCTTTCCATAGAAAGAGAATGTGCGCGTTAATGTAGCATAAGAAGGACTTTCACTGTATTTGCCTTCAGTGACCCGTTGTCCTGTACACAAGATCCTTCTCCTCCTCTAGGCTCATCTACTAACTCAAAAATACAGGTTAGTATTTATACTCTTATGTTTTCACTTTCCTGAGCAATGTGAAATTTGTTCATTTTGGCACATCCACACTATAACTCTAATAGACCCATCTTTGTCTCGTCATATAATGATCATCCTAGTTAAGCTTAAATAATGGATTCATTATAAAAGATTGAAAAATTAATTCCTTGTTTGAAAAAGCTTTTTCACTTGAATGAAAAACAGTTTTGAATTAACACACAGAGGAATAAGTAAATTTTTCATGGTTCTTTAAACATGAAATTCTTCTTGTTTAGTTCACGCAAATTATTAATTAATTTTCCTTTTTTTTTGATAAACTGGAAAGAGAATTAATTTTCCATTACGAAGATATAATAAAAGGCATCCTCCAACAACTAAACAATACTTTCTTGCCAAATTTTTCATAAGCAAACAGCTCGTTAACTTCAAGGATAATAGATAAATAAATTAAGTAATGAAAAAAATCTGTAATTTCCTCAATCCATAAATAAAACTCAATATCTGATCCTCAATATAAATCATTCTATCAATACAACCTTTTATTACAAGAAAAACATTAACAACATTTGCATAAAAAGATGAAGCCATATTGCTTTGTTTGGCTTGTGTTCTTGTAATTCTAATATCCTCAATATCTATGTGTGTTTTTGTGTGTGTGTGTGTGTGTACATATCAGTAAATTCATATATGAAGTGAGTTCACCATTTTTTAGTTATTTGAGTCCAGTCAGACTTTAATTCAAAGTACATTTAGCAGCATCACAGAAAAGGTCATATTTTATTATTTTTTTAAAAATTTTATTGGATGGTTTTTAACTGTCAAGTATTCAAGCGTTATTTAAGTCCTTGTGAGTTGTGACCTTGTTTATATTTGTCTCAGGTTACTTGTCATGTTTCTGTTTAACCCACAAGAGATATCAAGAAAGTCTAATTGTGTAATATTGCAGTAAGTTTCAAATCCAATTATTTTGTGTGTAAATCTAAATGGTGAAGTTCTAATCTGTCATATTTTATCATACCATGTCACTTGAGTCATACTTCGAAATAAAACTGTTTCACTTAGTGCAATTGATGACATAATGTGATCAAAGTTTGACAAACGTAGATTATAAATAATTGTTTTTTTAGCAAGAATAGATTAAAAACTGAGAGTACAATAATAAATACATACAATTTTTTTATCTTTTTAAAATAAATGTTAGGTAAATATGGCTAAGTTTCATTTTTTATTTATTTTACTAAGCATAGATATCCTCTTATTGGAGGCAATTCTGTTCAAGACACTAAATATGGACACATCTTCCAATCGGAATTCAAACTTTGGTTTGTCACGTCATAAGAGATTAGTCTCTTATGAGGCGTGAAGAACTGGTCTCTTCTGCTAGATCTAATCTCTATTAGTGGTCAGGCTTCACTAAACTAGTGGAGTTTTGTCCTCTCATGCCCCAAAGACATAAGTTCCCATAGAGCAAGCTATAGGCTGGTTTAACTCCAAATTCAACCAGATGGTATGTTCAAGCCCCTCAGTAGGGTGGCTCAAATCAGTTAGTAATACTACTTGGATGGACACAGACCAAACCAGGTGATCCTCCATAAAGGGAACCTTTCATGGACTAGAGCATCTGTTGCTTAATATCCAACTGAGAGCTAGAATCTAGAGTACTACAGTGTGACTCTAATAACATAATTCATCAAGACAAGGTAATTAATAAAAGTTCAATTAACTCATTTCTTAATTTTCATGAATAATTAACGAATCAAATTCAAACAAAAGTGATATACAGCCAAACAAAAGGCTTAGTTACGTTGTCTCCTAAGTGATCCATTTTTATCTTTTCAAACTACAAGATTTACCCTTGCGAATGTAGGAGGAAATAATTATTTATTTTGTGCACCGCCTAATCCAGAGAAATAACAATTGCTAGAACAGTCTCTGTGAGTAGCTAATAATATTAGGAATATTTTTGTAAGTGTTGAGGAAAAATGTAATATTTAAAAATTTGATTTTTTGGATCAAAATATCTAAAAATTTGATTATAGAATTCGATCTTGAAATGAAGTAAATAATTAAAGTTGTAGACCTTAATTTGGATACGGATATATAAGACTTTTGCAGTGAAATTCTTATTACTTTGGTTACAAATTAATTATTTCAGAATAAAATATACAATCTGTACATAAAAGCATCTTAAATTGTTATAATAATTCATAATTACACTTTGAGCCTTTTTTTTGTTATTTGAAATGGTTGAAATAATCCCACTTATCATTAGCTACTATGCAAACTGGCAGAGAAGTCCAGAAGTCACAAGATGATTTGAAACTTGAGCCAAAATTTGGCGAGCAATATATACATACACACACTACTTCTAGTCTTTAA